GTAGGCTATGTTTTCTAATGTCGAAATCAGCTTCCAAAACCAAAACATTTTGAATAAAACAAGAAGCAAAGAGTACCGGTATGCAATGTAACCATCTAATTTATTTTCAAATCCTCATTCTTGAAAATGAAATTCTACATTTTGGAAATTTTGCATTTGTCAACGCTGTCAAGGTCGAGGTTGCTTCACCTATCACGATGTATTCTAAGCATCATGAGGCTATCCAAACGAGCATTTGTCATAACAGAACGCAAAATATTTTAAATAAGTGTCATTGAACTATTATTATTATTATTATTATTATTATTATTATTATTATTATTATTATTATTATTATTATTAATATTATTATTATTATTATTATTATTATTATTATTATTATTATTATTATTATTGGCGCAACCACTGGATTCAATAATCTGCTGTATACCTTGCTTTGCCATTTTCGATAGGTGAATAGGACCTAATTGTACCTTTAGAGCACTGGTGAATATTTATTATTTCGTAATTTGCATAACGAATTATTTATAAACCATGCTTCCTACAATGTCATTATTTAGATATAATGGCACTCGACTTCGGTTATTTAGGCTATGTTCACACACACGGCGTAAGGCTGGCTTAAGCATGGCGTAGCGTACGCCTTTGCGTGTGAACTAGGCCGTGGCGTTGTTAAAGCCACTCACTACGCCACGTCCTTGGCGTTATATTAACGCTACCTGCAGACCCCAGATTAGCAATTTAGGCATATATATAATTGGAAGTTGGAACCATTATTTAGATATAATGACCTTGACACGATAACACATGTGCAGTTTGAAATCCAAGCATGGTTTTGCGACAGCTATTATTTATATATAATGAAATGTAAAAGCAGTTATTTATAAATAATGATTTTGAAGTCAATTCGTTATTTATATATAATGAAATCAGTGAACTTATTATATATAAATGCCAGTTTTGACGGTGACTTCACTTCTTTTTTTCAAATACTAGTTCCTTTGCATAGATTAAGATCCCCTGGATTATTTTGGGTTCCACCGGGTAGGGTTAACGTTACAAAAAATGGTTTTATTTGTCGTCTTCCTAAGTTATATAATTCTATCTGTTTCAATCCTTCCTTAGATATATGTTTTGATAGTCTTAACTGCTTCCGTCACAAAATTACTACTATTTTTACTTCTGTTACCAAGTGAATTTCTAATATTTTAAATTATTTTTTAGCCTATTTTTGAATTTAATGTTATATTACTTATATACATTTTTTAAGTATCAATTTTCATGTATCAATCCTGTTATGGGCGACACTAGTCGCTGTTGGATGATGTTGAAAAAAAAAATAAATATAATAATAAATAATTGTAGGTTACTTTTCATTATTTATATATAATGATTTGTTACCTTTTTATTATTTATATATAATGGAATCAGTGAACTTATTATATATAAATAATTGTAAGTTATTTTTCATTATTTATATATAATGATGTGTTTCCCCTTCCTTATTTATATATAACGAAGCCAGTAACCTTATTATATATAAATAATGTTGGGTTAGCCTTTCATTTATTTATATATAATCACTATAACAACTCCCTGATATAATGTAATCAGTAAACAAATTATATATAGATAATGAAACGTTAACGCAATTATTTACATATACGGTAATCTTTTATGCGTAAATGCACTAATATATAAATAATGGGTGATCTAGTCAATTATATGTTAAATAATGAATTACATATAAATTATTGTGTTAAATAATAAATTTACACTTGGCGCCTCATACATTTGTACCCCTAGCCACCCGAAATGAATAGTAGACTCCAAACAGACGTAGCGCGGTTATGGAGATCGAACATGACCGAAGACTGTTTTGGCATACTTTATATACCTGCACTGCGGCAATAATGCCGATAGAAAAATAACAGTTTTTTCCGCACTGTGGCAGTGCCGATAGAAAACAGCAGCTTTTTGGCACTGCGGCAGTGCCGATAGAAAACAACAGCTTTTTTTTCGCACTGCGGCAGTGCCGATAGCCTCAGCCTAAGAACAGGTCCGCTACCCACCAACTCAGTAATCAGAATATTTAACGTCAAACCACGTCAACAAGCGTTAACTCACGCCTTCTACCATCAACTCGCGTTAGAAAAGAACAAAATAATCCAATAGAAAAGAAAATTACCGGTATTATGTTCAATCTGAGTTTTCGATAACTGAACAATATTTTCCACCAAGCACAGACCCCGTCCCGGTCGTCCGATCCCGAGACGAGGTTATCGGGTTAAATTATTACGGTAACTTCCCAAATCCATATCCAAATAAAGTGGAGTGTCAACCATGGTATTGTGACTAAATATAGCAATATCTTTATTAATTTTATTGCATCTAAAAAAAAAACAACCCATCATATTACTGAAAAATCAAACACAAGCAAACAGAAGCAAAAGGACGGAATCCACAGACTAGAGGTCCAAACTTAGGGAAACGCCCTGTGTGAAAAATATCAATTTTGTGGTTGGGAAACATTGGGCCATCCTACACCGTCCCTACATACGACACTAGAGATTTTATTTCGTAGGCCTGACTGAGACTCTAAGGCAGCCTGTTCTCAACCCCAATTCTGTCGGACTTTTGGAACCCCTGCCGGTAAATTGGAACCCTTCGTCAAATATATGTGAAAAAGATGTATTTTAGGTCGATTACAGAGAGATGCACAACAAAATAGTACCAAGATGTCTGCTGAAAATGTACCGTATGCTAGGAGTACGTACAGGCCTATAGTATGAAAAAGAAAAATAAAGTCTTAAGGTTCAATCAATCTTTTTAAAATAGGGGCTTCTTTTTAAAATAGATAACAGGCCTATAGTATGAAAAAGAAAAATAAAGTCTTAAGGTTCAATCAATCTTTTTAAAATAGGGGCTTCTTTTTAATATAGATACACTGTACATGAATTTTAAATAAACTAAATAAAAAAAACACGCTTTTATGTTATTTAATTCCGGTTAAAACCGTACCGTACACTCATGGTACAGACTAATGTTACAACGGCCCATTTATCGTTTTATAATAGTAATTCCAAAAAGAAATTGCAACATTGTTTTTAAAAAGAACTCCCCCTCTATACTTTGCAAAAGTAGCCTCGATAAGAAGCCTATCTACAAAAGAAGCCCATCTAAAGTTCGGAAAAAAAAAAATTAAAAAGAAGCCCAGGGCTTCTATTCGAGGCGTTCCATGAATTATGTTCTATTTTGACGATGTTGACGAACGTTGCCGCTAGTAATATTTTCTTCAATATTAATAGGGCGCCACCTCACGGTTGCGGACCAACACAAACGCTCTCATACTTGTCAAAAAGTTGGGTTGTTTGGTGTATTGTTGTATTTCAGTTTTCTTTAGACGAAAGATACATTCACAACTTACAAAATGATGCTTAAGGAGTATCGGATATGCATGCCTTTAACAGTAGAAGAGGTAGGATATATTGGGTTGTGCTTTAGAGTGTATTTTTTTGGTGTACCTTGATTATTTGTGTCAAAAACACTGACTGATGACAAGTGACAGAGCAGAGAGCTCTTCAGCTCTCTGCCAGTAGCTGGACCTATAATACTGCCCACTCTCTTATATTTTAGTTAGAGGCCTAGGCTGGGAGGCCTAGGTAGGCCTAGGCCTAGCAGAATATGCTTACCTTGTTCAAAATTTAGATTTTAGTTTTACGTACACAGTAGGCCTATGCCGATTGTATCGATATCAGGAACAAATTTGCTTATTTACTGCAAAGTGTATTTTTTGCCAATTTGGTTTTTTGGTGGTTAGAGAGGAGGGGTGTGTGTGAGGAAGGTCAATAATTTTAAGTTATAATTTATGGTCATTATTATGACTCTGACTTTTGCCATTCCATTCACATCAATCATTTCATTTTGTTTGTGTATTGCCAAGTCTATGATTACTGTAGGCCTACTTTTTTTGTTTAATTAATTAAAAATAGACAAGGATCAATTTCCATGCATATGTAGAAAATTACTGTAGGCCTAGGCTACAATACAATACAAATCTTACTTTATTCTGGAATGCTCATTTCAATACAATTGATCTGGTCTCCCAAAACTTCGAGATTTAGCAAAAATATAACTTAACCAAATTGCAAAAAGAACGAGAAATGAACGATAAAATGATTAAAGAGGTAAAAACTATCAAAATACAGTGCATAAATGAAATTAATAAGGAAATAAAAAAAATCAACTTAATTAGTTTCAAAATGTTTACAAACATCAACTGGAAGGTCATAAAGTATAATACATACTCCAAGTATTGAAATACACGCCATCGTATTGGGATTCAATATTTCGACATTAATTATGTCATCATCAGGAATTCCTGATGATGACATAATTAATGTCGAAATAGAGTATGTATTATACTTTCTTATCTGAGATTAATCAGTGGACCTTTCGGTTAATAGTCATACACAGCCAATACAATATATTACGCAGTAGTTATGAAACGATTCTGCACACTTTGTTTTTTTTATGTATCCCACACAAATATTTATTTATTTATTATTTCTTTCGACTGGATAGCATTTTTAGTAGCGCAATGCTGCTTTTCAAAATGGTCCAGTTTTTTTTAACAAACATTAACATAACAAGAAAGTATAATACATACTCCAAGTATTGAAATACACGCCATCGTGTTGGGATTCAATGTATTATACTTTCTTATCTGAGATTAATCAGTGGACCTTTCGGTTAACATAACAAAAAATATAAAAAATTAAAGAGAAAAAGAAAAACCCAAATTATACAAGACACAAAAAACAACACAAAGTTCAAATTGCAAATAACTTTCAATTTAAAGTAAATTAACAAAAATGGTATTTTTGAAATTGACTATGGTCACATCAGTTGCATTTTTTCTGATTTTGTTTGGTAGATTATTCCAAAGTTTGGCTGATCGGTATTGAAAGGTTAGTTTTCCTTGAGTATTTTCTCAGTATAGTAACTACTAAGGTTTTACTGCTTTGACTTTGAATTTGGAATGGATACCATCATTAAACATAAACATTGAAGATAAATATGATGGTGCATAACCAGGGATGTCACCAGCTTTTTGGAGTGCCGGTCGGCAATCATTCCGCGTTTTTCCAGGGAGGGGGGTGCCTCACCCCCATTTTCCGGGAGGGGGGTCGCCATATTCGTGAAAGCTCTTAAAAAGCAAAAGGCCTTTGTCGAGCAGGCCTAGGTCCAAGGCTAGCTGACGCGATTTTTTTAAGCTAGGCCCAGGTAGGCCTAGGCCAGAATTTGAGGAATGCAACAAAGCGTCGATCCGACTGTACCCAGCCGCATTGTTTGCCGTAATTTCACATGTTTGACGATTACCACGATGAATGTGTATGTTACTGATTCATGTGCACTCATTTATTTATTTTTTGTCCATTTACACACATTATATATCAATTATAATTAAAAGTGAAAAAATTAAAATACAAAATGAAAACAAATAAAGAAATAAACATAAATCAGGTTTTGTAAATTTTTAATAATCTTCTTGCCCCGGACCATGCTCTCATAATAAAACACTTGAATGGTCACGATATTCAACTTTAACCTTTGAATGTGTACAGAGCAACCGTCTCATGCCGGCCCACGACATTCGCTATGACTTAACTGGGCCTAGGCTGTTAAGTTAGCGAAGAATAGCAGGGTAGTGCAGTATTTTGTTACAATTAACGTAACCACGGAAACATTTATTGTATTCTTCTTGTCTTTATCTATCAATTTAGCTTGTCTAAGTGTTTAGGTAAACTAATTATTTTGTTATAATTTGTAAACTGTTGAAATAATAGTGGTGGTCGGGAGCCTGTAAATCCTAATCGGAAATGTTGAGTGCTGGACGGGCCCTTCCACCGCCGACCAGCGTGGTGACATCCCTGATAACCATGTAAACACTTGAATACAATTACAAGTCAATGTTCTCTCCATCCTCATATAGTGGTTTCCAGCTTAATGTATCTAATATATCATTTATTGGAGTTTTTAAATCTACAGATAGCAGAACTCTACCTAATCTGTATATATAAAATTTGAAGTGAATTTAAGTTTTGAGTACAGTTCGACCAGACTGAACTGCAGTAATCAAAATTAAAATAAAAATAAAAATAAAATAGTTTTAATGCAACGTACATAGGATTATACATTTTGGATCTTGGCTCATTACTGCAACTCCAGCTTGAGATAGAAAAGTGAGAAGAAAATTATTGATTTATTCAAAAACTTAATATTCACTTTTATAGGCTTCACCAATATTCATGATATGATGTCTGTTTATGGAAATAGATAGTACAAGTCACTTTACAAACTTTTGGGTAAGGGTAAAGTGAAAAAATTTCCCCTGACAGTAAGCGTGAACCCAATATTGTCGGATATCTACATCAAAGAAAAAATGTTCTCCCCCTCCTCTTGACACCCTCCCAGGGGTTTACCATAAAGATTTGAACATCTTGTCACACTATTTAAGATTTTGGTATTCAGGAATTGTTGGGAGCCATTAGGCATATTCGACTGGTCTGTTTTGAGCAGCTCTTTCTAATCAAACTGCACATGTCGTATTCAACTGGTCGCACGAGCAGTACGAACTCCTGACAAGAACGGCTCAAACTCCTCGCTGTTTTTTAACGAGCGCTGCGAGCACACTTCGAGAAGTAAATCACTCCTCGGAAAAGGACCAGTCGAATACGCCTATTGATTATTGGTTGATTAATTGGTGTATTTTCTGTCAATTCACTTGAACAGCCTTTTTCTTAATAATCCCTTTATATTTATACAAATTCGTATTGAGCTTTTAGTTTTTACTGTTTCCATAGTTTTTGTTATTGAACGTACAGAGCATCATTGTTGGTTTAATCATTTAATACACTGCACCCTAGTAATTTATTTTGTTTGCTCTACTTTATTTAATAAAAACAGACTGTGCAAGCATTAATACTAGTACAGTTTGTTTTTTGGTGTAAACTTGTGGTAATTTTTTTTGTTAGTTTTTCTTTATTAAATTCTATTTTTAAAACTCATAGAGTAGTTCATAGCAATAGTCCTACAGAACAGACGTATTTTTGTACCGTGTGATTGTTTGATTTATACTTTTCTGGCAAGGCTGGCTTGAATTTATGAAACAGGACAACTGTTAATATTCCTCAGCTATTTATTATTCCTACTGCAAAGTCATTATTTAATTTATTTAGCAATAATAGATACTGCGGCACATCCTCCAAGTTGAAACCCCTCAAATTTGAGACCACTTTTTCCAATGAACAAATTAACAATCTGCAGTCTTTTAACACTCCAGATTCAAGATTTATTTATTGGTCAAAAACAAGTAATATAAATATGGTTCCAAATTTTGGTTGATTATACAGTACATGCAAAAAATTGACTCAGCTTACCCTTAATTGGAGACCGAGCCCCAAAATCTCTCCAAATTTTTAGGTCACAAATGTGGTCTTGAATTGGTGGGTTAACTGCTTTTGCTTTTAAAGGTTCATCCTTGTGTAAAGTCTGTATGATATTCCATTGTACCCCTATTAAGGGTACATTTTCGGGACCAAAAAAAAATTGTCCCCTAGGGATGCTCCAATGGAGGGGTTCTACTGTTCCCCACTATTTTAAACACCAGCTATCTTTTTGTATAATATTCATCCAAGTATTCAACTTGTGACATTAACATATTTTATCCTCGAGTGCCCCACTACTGATAACTTATTCGTCCAAGTATTTAACCTTTGACCTTCACACATTTTATCATCCAATGCCCACTGCACATCAGAAGCCTGTTCATCATTCATCTCTCTAATGAGAACATTTTCTGCATTAATAAATAATACCAGTAATTAAACTGAATTATTAGAAGATCAACAATCTGCTTATCGCAGCGCATTCAAACACTTGACAAGTGTGGAATGCCGTCAGGGGATACTGTAATGTGCTGCTTGCATTATTAGTAAACAATTGTCTAAACTCAATGCAGTGAATATACACAAAATTCACATCAATGTCCGCAATTGGAGATTTGGATTTGAAATTAATGATAAGATTTTAAATAACAAAAGAGGCAATGGAGGCACCAGTGTTGACCTGGGAATTGGAAAGTGTGCACTGTTAGTTAATTGTCATGGCAACCAATTATTTTATACAGTATAGACTATGTTTTATTCTTTTCAGTATATTGAATTTCTTATTCTATTCACTTTGCTGTAACATGCCACCTTTCATTTTATCAATCATTAATTCCAACATTAGCTTTCTTATGGAATTTGATCAGTGAGGTTGGTATAGTAGGGAGTGTTTATTAATATTATACAGTAGAACCTCGATTTTACGTACAGTACGGGACCAGAGGGCATACGTAAATCGGGGGATTCGTAAAATAGAGGTTGGGTTAAATGTGTGGTAACCTTTGACCTAATACGTATGTAACGCTCATTACACGTATGTATGAACGAACGATGTTACTTAGCTAGGCTAGACCTAGCATCTAGGCCTACAAATAAAACCATGTGTTATAGTGTTTTTATTCATCACTTTACGATGTCATAATAAAGTGTTCAAATAAAACCATGTGTCTAGTGTATTAATTCATCACTTTATATCTTTTTTTAAACTAAAGAACATAAAAATATTGTAAGATTACCTATACGACAAAGGTATAACTTGGGAATTCCCCTTCATGCCTATTCTAAACAACAGAGCTGTGGTGTTGTCTGGGCCTGTTGAGACAAACTAAACATGTGCGCTGCACTGGGCGAGCCAACCAATTAGTGTTCGTGTACGTGAAACAGCAACCATGTGCACTGCACTGGGCGAGCCAACCAATTAGCATTCGTGTATGAAACTATGCCTACTCAGCTTCGTGTAGAAAATTGGACCAGACAAGTTTTTCCATGGTTTGCCACACAAAGCTAAGGAGGAAAGCAATTATTTTGAGCACCATGGGTAGTTGTTCATCTCACTCAGTTCACGTGGTTTTAGATTATAACAACCCGGTATTAGACTCAATCAACGTTGCTGTTTAATGAAAATATGTTGCATTATGGTTTGTTTATTGATAGTTTATTGTTATAGTCTTTTTACTTATGGATGCTCTGAAAAGGGCCGTTTGTTTTGAATATTTTCGGGTTTTTGATGAATGTCATCTTCGATACGAGGCGTACGTAAAACCGAGGGTTTGTATAACTGGGGTACGTAAAAACGAGGTTCTACTGTAGTGACAACAGTACGGTAAATAAAAACATTGCAAAACTACCAGATTCACTTTTTGTCGTACTATCATTTTTCCTAATACTTGTGATTACTTTGAAATCTAAATTTTGTGGGTCATAAAGTAATTCATAGAATATACCATCAAATTAATTACAAAAACATTCATAAATGAAACTAGTCTACATGTGGAACTGCTTAAGATTTAATTTACAGTAATCCTTAAAAAAATAACTGTCTCTTCATTACTTTATGTAGTGATGTTTTCCTTTTAAAATATGATACTGATATTGAAAGTGAGATCAACTCTGCTTCCTGTTATTTTCAAATGTGCATTTTTGTTGGTACCATACTGTATTGTAGCACTCTGCACTAGACAAGAGTCTATGTATGTATGTGAAAATGATGATCCTTTTGAAATGATTGAAGCTATGATTTGAGGCATGTTGTGGCGAAATGGTAAAGTTGTCGCACAGTCCAGTATTGAGTAAATGAGCTATAAAATATGGGAGCTCAAAAAATTGCTAAAAAATCCAAATTTGTTTTTTACTATAGGTCAACAGTTTAATATCTTATTAATCATGTCTCAAAGTATTAGTTCTGGAAGTGGTTAACAAATTGTTTATTTAACGTTATTTTTCATAGTTCATTATATTAAATAATGTATGCACAATATACCTTTTAAAGGCAATTACTCAAAATCCTGTTTATCTTGACTCTAAGAGTACTGTACTTTCACTTTCCAATAACTTTGGTTTGAAATGTGCAATTTGAATGAATGACCCCTCATTTTAAAGATCACATACTCAGGTATTTGAAAATACCAATAACTTGAATTTCAATTTTTGCTACAACTTAGCCATTTTGCCACAACATGCCTCATTTGGTTAACATTTCCCCTTTCGTTCTTTTAACTTTTCAGTACAAAGTAGGTCAGCTGTATATGATAGCAAAGCACAGCGATGAACAGTCGTCGAAAGGGGAAGGTGTTGAGGTTGTGAAGAACGAACCATGTCACCATGAGGTCCACGGAGATGGTCAGTTCACAGAGAAACGCATTTACATATCAAAGTAAGTTCTCGACCGTAGGTTATGTGTCAACATGAATCTCAAATGGTGTGTGATTAGCTAGCTTAGTTGGCCAATAAACTGGTGGTATCCACTGTGTATGTGTTGAATTGTGGAGATCTCTAGGTCCTCGGTTGAAATGCAATTTACAGTAGTGCACCGTCTTTCGAATGCGACGTTTAAGCCCTTGGTCCTGTGGGCATTGTGGTTCATGTGCAAGTTAGTGAACGCAGTACACTCTTCGTAAACTGGTAGGGGATTGTCTCACGGTGTACTGCTCAATCACCACCAGAAGGACTCCACTGGAAATAAGTCTGCAGATTTTCGTGGGTTATCCATGGTGTTTACAACAAATACATTCATCCATCCATATTCTGTGGACTTAAATTTGCTGTTTGTTAACTAGGTGTTTTTTCTAGGGTAGGATTCAACTTTCAACAGCGCGATGTTTCGACCTCGATATAAACAAGGTAAACAGTGCGACTATTACCTTTACAATGTAGTTTCCTCAACCTAGATCGTTCAAGCCTCTCTACTGCACATTTTTTAATGAAGTTTGCACATTACGATTAAATAAATGTCGTGAGTCGACTGTTCTATTATTTTTCGAGGGGTGTTCTCCTGTGAGAAAGAATAGGCCTGTAGTTGGTTTATCCAGGTAATAGTGTCCACTCACATACACTACCAACATCACCATTGATTTGTGTATTTTACAGTGCATCACATCTGTCAAATATGAAAGCTTAAAGCAGAGCTGGCTATTACACCATTGATGCTCTCGTTTTCTAATCTAATTATTTTTATTGTTCACCTATCCCCTATAGTAACCTGTTCACTTAAAATAAATAAGTCAACCAAATAGCCCTAAACATTTATATCTTCCAAAATAAAACAATCCAAAAATATATAATTATAATTGTAAGAGTATCTAAATTTAAATGGAGATTATGGTAAATTGAATGAGATTCCCTTAACTACACAGTAGAGAGATGCATTCATGTTCTTTACTGTACTCTTGTCTTATCCTTTGCATTGATCTGATACATTTGCCCATTTATTCACTCCTTTACTTATCTATTCATTCATATAATTCATATAGTGTATAATAATTCATTCTCACATCTGTTTAATCACAGAAACACGAATGATCATACTGTACCTTTCAAATATGTATTTCTTTCAATCATGTGTACATTCTTTCTCAGTGTCATTCACCCAATAGACCCGTATTATTTTACTGTTTATTCAGTACCAATCTATTCAATCACCAATCTATTTACTATTTATTTGCCCGATGTATATACCCATGAACTTTTAACTATTTCTTTTCTGTTAAATATTCAATCACTATTCTGTATCATTCATCCATAAATGCACCCAATGTATTGTCCATGAACTTACCACCAACAACTAGTAACTATACTTTCTGTATCCATTCATTCATGAATTAACCTATTCATTTAGTTGTCAAAGTATGCATGCATTCATTTAATTTTAAATTACCTTATTTCCTACAAATTATTTCAATCTTATTCAAATCTCATTCCGTTTTTTACTGTTTAAAACTATAGTGTTTCATATTTTGCTATTTTTGTTATATTTCAGATTGATGTTTTTCTATAATATTTTGTGATGCAATGATATTATGCTGCTCAGTATTTCAATAGTCTTAAATCTTGGTTTTAATTATTGTCCCTCCATGCCTCTACTGTAGGTTTTGAACATTAAATCCTCCTACATTCTATTATTTTAATGAAAATCAATGAATGAGTGTGATATTGTGTTGCTATTATTGTTTTTATATGTTTTATGCCTTTTATACTGTAAACATCTTTTTCACAAATCAGTTTTTGTGTCTACTGCTCCTGCAGGGGTTTGTAGACACTTAGCTTTCGCCTGGAAATTTAATTGTGAGAGTAAATCCAGGAAATATACAGGATGGAATATTGCGTCATGCAACTATTTATCTCGCACAGGCCAGGTTTTACCTTTTTGTTAGATTGGTCTCGCGATTCCTTAGTAAACATAAAGGCAGTTGACACATTGTTCCCTTTGGGAGCTTACTGTATTTTAAAAACTGCTACACCTATGAAATGAAATGTTGTATTTCCTTAAGTGAAACTGCAAACCATGCAAGTGTCTTCCATTTCCTGCTAGCCTAAAGTATTATGTTGTAAGATCAAATAGATTCGTTGGGTTTCTGTGATATGAAATGTTTACTTTTACAAGAATTTACTCCATGTAATGTTGTGTTTGCCACATATTACATATTGCCTGTCTTTTTGGCTGGAATTACAAGATGACACATGTGAGTGAACATAAATACATTGGTGAAAGTAAAGGAAGATTTCAGTCGTCTTATGACAAACATATTGATTCATTTAATCGTGTACACCTGAAACGTGAGCTAACAGAATCCAAAGCAATTAGATTTTCTTGTAATATTTGCCAACATACATCTCATATTCATTTTCTCCAATAATGCTCAACGGTTGTCATGTTTACACATGTTCGACACAAGTAGTACTGTATTACTTTTCATTGTTTGCATTTAATACTCAAATTTCAGATCATCATAAATAGTCATTCTCTATGCCCCAGTGATTGAATTTATTTTATTATGCAAAGTGGTAGTGTTGTTTGTGTTACAGTATTTATATTAGAGATCACTTTATTATTGAGCAAATTTCATGTTTACCTTGTTTTGTGATTAATGACAATAAAGTTTATCTTATCTTATCTGGGTACAAGTTACTTTGTACTACAGTCAAACTTGCCTAAAGTCGAAAAATTGTCAAAGTCAAAATTATTTTCATGTTACTTCATCTTCCCTATACTTAATATAATAGTTAATATTTTGCTCTAACTAGAATAAAAACGAAAGTCGAACATATTTTACATGCCAAATTGATCTGTTTTCCATTCATTGTTAGTCCGTAATTTGAAGTCAAAATCTTGAAGTAAAACTTCAATCGTTTTAAGCTGTCTCCGCTTTACCAACATGTGAACGTCAACAAGTGACATTTGGCGATGCAGAAATTGACACGCAAAGTAAGCCCGACAATTGACTCGTGTTTACATTGCATAGCGGTACTTTGTGTAGTTTATTTTACACGCAACTTGACTCATATTTTTCAATAACTTTCTCCTCCCCTGAGGATCACTTCATTTCCTCTGCAGCCATTAAACCAGCGCACTTTCATCTGTCCACGACAAGGGCCGAGTGAACCAGTACACCAGGGTAACCCCCTACTCATCTCGAAAGATGTACTGGGTTCTTTAGAGTGCACATGAGCATTTGTGTACACAGGGCCTACGGTTTATAGTCCTTTTATCAATGAAGACTTGTTCCACCACCAGAACTATAGGAGCGAGCAGGCCGCGAACCCGTGCCGATATTGTTGGCTTTGATCACATTGCCCCTGCCTTAACCGCTCGGCCATTTGGCTTGCTCAGTACATCAAAGCACCATGTACCACAATTTATGCTTTGTTTATATTAATCACACTTTGTTAAGATTTGTGTTTATTTGAAATTTGAATAATTTTTGTGGATACAATTGATGACTATCTTCCATAAAATTGTTAAAATTATGAATGTATTGATACTTGCCGAGCATGCCAATTATTTGCAAGGGTTGTGTTTTCGAAGGCTAGTAATACAGTTCCACCGACCATCTAATTATCGTTACTAAATCATTTATTATTTATTATTTTCACTGATGTTTTTTGCAGTCGTTTACCTGGATGGATACAGACAATGCTCTCAAGGATTTGCAGTTTCTTCTACGTCACAGAAAAAGCTTGGAATTACTACCCTCATACATTTACAGGTAAGATTGCCAAATTAAGTGCCCTAAAAGTCACCTTTTTACAGTATTGTAGCTTTCAATATTGTTGGATAAAATTGTGTAAATTGTGTTTTTTTTTAACTCTGTACTGCACTCGGTGTTGTTGCAATGTGAAGCTTTGGTGGAGTGCCATAATCACTGTTGAGCTGTCACTGGCTAAAGCCAGCGGTCCCTGACCTTATGAGGCACAGGATTATTTGTTGATTAATCTGCATATTTTTTGCAAGGATCATACAGGCTGCCTTTAAACTACGGGCCCCAAATTGGCTGCGTGGGTTCCTTAAAAGACAGAATGTGTAATACGTAATACACTAAAGTACTGTACACGTCTTAAAATGTTGCTACCAGGGGCCTTACAGTATACGGCCTTGTCTTGCCTTGAGCGCTGTAGGGCCCATAAGGACGTCTAATGGGCCTCCAACCCCCTTCGTTACACCACTCTATTGATAAATATGTATGAAAATTATCAATGCTTTTTTTCTGTACTACACTCGGTGTTGCTTGCTGATTTGAACCCAAGACCTTAGAATTCACCAAGCTACAGCTCCACTGCCAACTGGCAACAGAAGGAAGCACTTATAGCAATTTTATCAAAACTGTAGACCGCCAAAACATTATGTACATTTACCACCTGAAGGATTCCATTAGGACCTACTTAAATGTCATTTTAATCACAAAGTGATGTTCAGGCTATTTGTAATAATCGATATTTAAGAGTACAAATAGCACATTCCACCTGGTGAACAATGGTTTTACTGCTTTTGCTACAGTACTTCATGGCTTGTTGATGCATGTTAGATAACAAAATATTTTATTATCACAATGAGGTGAAAAAAAAATTGTGTTGCTTATTAGTATATTACCATGAGTATAAAAATATATGAATCTATGGATGAATAATTATCTGAGTTACTGTACATCTAGAAAGGAATCAGTTATAAATTGAAATTCTTTGGAGGCCACCTTGAGAAAAAAGCGTTAAATTGAAAAGTAAATTGGCATAATTTATTTAAAGCTACAGTGGGTCTATTTTGTGAGTCATAAATGTGGTATTTATCAAATGGATAATTTGGTGAGACTGTAGGCTATGCTGAATCTATAGATGCTACTGTACAGGATACCAGGAAATTGAGCCACACTCAAAATTACCTTAGGCCTACCTTCAAATGCTATCCCATTATATCTGAGACAATGTTTTTAAGGGTTGGGGTTTTTTTTAGATTTAGAAATTTGAAACTTTAAAGGCTTGGAGGGGTTTTTACATTTCTTATCAGATTAAACACATTATGATACAACCAATTTCTGACAAATTCAAATGTTGAGGAACATATTTTTTTTAATCATAAATTATATATTTAAAAAAAATTCTAAATTTGTTATTTCCAGAACAGCAATAAAATGTAATGCACAAATCCAAAAACCTATCACAAATTATCATGTTTTATAGTTGCATGTAATTCTCTAGGCTATAATGCTGGAGTAGAGGCTATAATTTTGTAGGCTATTAAAGAAAACAGATTTTGAATTAATTCTGAACAGGTGATATGTACCTTTTAACTGTACGTATGCAATCTTTATTTTTCAATGGTTTTTTTTCACACAATTGCCCAGCACAATAGTTTAAAATCCATGTCTACAATGTTGATGTCAATATTCATTTCATTACAATTGTAGGCTTTTAAGTCAAATTCAATTACCGAAAATTTCATTTTTATAATAGGATGTTTTGAAAGATTTTATGGAATTTGGGTCCTCCCATGTAAATCGTACAGTATTATCACTTGAGTACCCAACAAATTTTTTTTACACATAACACATTCAAACATGGTTTTCCCCAAAAATTTTTTGTTGGCAAATGTAATTATAATTTTTCTAAATTGACAACATTAATGTATTGAGACTCATAAGTTAGAGAATCAGTGCTAGATTTCAATACCCTTTCAACATTCAAATTAAATTTCCACTTAATATCTCATCATGGCAATTAATAGTATTCCATGGTGCAGATACTGTTTTTATTCTTTGATCATTCTTTGTGTGTAATGTTTCATTATCATCATTCTGTTGCCATATCTTTCATTATTTTAACATTCTTTTCACTTCACGATTGATTATCAGTAAAAATGTCCTGCTAGCAGCAAAACTTCAAAGAGTCGGCATCTTGACCAGTTTCTGTTTTTTTTTTTTTTTTTTTTAGTTCATAAGAGAAGAGATATTGAAAAACAATTCTGTCAGTTACTATATCTAACTATTAAAAAAGTACAGTTAATTTTATTAAATCATTTCTGAATCACATATTTTACCGTAATATTTAAATATTTGACTTTGACAAATAATATTGGAAGCAATTTCAGTGATATCAAGCTTAGAGAACTACTTTACAGAGAGATCTATTTGACATCTGGTATAATGAGCACAGCCTGGTATAACGCATGAACACATCTTTTTGTAATTTGCTGCACGTGGTGAGACCCGTGGTCAGCTGACGTCAGGGAGATACTGTTGGTCTGTAATGAGTAAAAACAGACAAACATTCAGAATTTGTAGGCGATGGATTAGGCCAAATAAAATTAATTTCTAGTTTCAAATCCCCACCCTCATCAAATTTTGGAGCCTCATGAAAAAGTTTACTATTTGCTATTTTTCAAAAAATCATTCATTTTTCCATGGACAATAAAAATAATGACCATCTGATAGAATTATGTCAAGCCTATATAAGAGGTGGGAACGTAAATGGCAGAAATACATTACAAAGATTCATTTTACTTCTTTTATTTAAAAATTAAAAAAAATATTACATACTACTTACCAGCCTGTTTACCATGATAGTAAAAGGCAAATAGTAAATACCCTCACCAAAAAATAATTTCAAATTTAATTTATTTGGCTGTATTTTGTGAGAGATTTTTACTTCCTTGTTGAAGTGCGGGAGACCATGCCAATTTCCCTGTGACTCCTACAGTATGACTCCAGTAGACTTGGTACCCCTGTGAGTTGAACTTCAAGCAAAAACTACAGTTAAAATGTACACCCAGCCTATAGTTATATGAATTTAGAGTTTGACTGTAGAGGAAAAGGTTTGATGAAAGTTTTTCTCAGGCATTGAATTAAAGTTCTTGAAGTGGGTAGAAGGGGAAGAAATAACTGGGAATACAGTAGATAATAAATACGATAAAGATAATATGATTTTAAATTGAAAATTTTAAAAATGTGTAGACTAGCATAGGCCTATTAGTAACCTCAGTTTCTATTTTCACAAAATTTTATTGAACTTATTTGCTTTCCAAATATTATTTCTTCAAAAACCTCATTTAATTTCTTTAGAAAATTATATTTGGAATTTTGGCTACCACTGGGGACCCATGCAGCCACAGTGCAGCACAAGTACAGATACATTGGCCCCTTGTCCTACTCCCGAAGGATAACTCCCCAAAGGATTATTTGAGGATTCAAGCAATTGGGCTCCAATTATAACACAACACTAGTCGAGTTTGAACCAGGGTTTTCAGTGCAAGAAGCAGGGACATTGCCTCTGTTCTGTGTAAAATATGTTGTTTTACAGGGGTGTCTTTGAGTAATTTAAATGGTTCGGAGTGATGTTTTGACATACCTGACATGTGTTCGTACCAAATACTTATTACATCCCCAAATACTTGAGGGAAAAAAAATTTGCAAGTGGTTCAGGTGGGAATCGAACCCACGACCTCCAGATAACTAGCCTGGTGCCATAACCACTAGAATACTGAGCTCTCTTACAGTAGTGGCTAGTCTTGAATCAAGTACTGTAGCAGTGGGTAGGCCCCTACTGCATGTATTTTTGTTTAGTTACAGTAGACAATAGATAGATACATTTTTAGTGCATAGAGACCATATTATAATAGGCACTTTAGAAGGCCTCCAATCATTAATATTAATATGACCTTATAAGAGAATCGTAAAGCAGTGCTTTATGTTGAACAAAGCCAGCATAAAATCTTTAAATTAGGTTAATTATTATTACAGTACTTTGTTCTTGCATGTTTCGACAATCATTTGCATATTTCAGTTTGCCAGTATTTGATTTAATTTTGCTTGTTTAGCAGCCATTTTGGTTCAATAACATTAAGTATGCAATTGCTTGCTTTTTACAGCTTTCATCTAATATCTAGATCCAAGGTGCTTATTCCATTAGTGGAATATTGATGAATATCCTGTTGCTATAGTAATATTGATGATGTAAATGGAGGTACTGCAGGCCTTCAACTAACTATAGAGAATTAAACAAGTTTATTGTTACAGTAAATTTAGTATTTAACTTAAATTGAACTTTGAATCGGTGGTAAAACATGTCAGGTTTGTATTAAATAATATTAAAAAATGTAAAATGGTGGATTTATATACGTGCATTCTGTAGGTACTTCTTTACACTCTTGTATTTACTCGTATTTCAAAGTATATGGGTACGGTGAAAAACCAAGGCTCAATAAACGTCTGGAATTCGTAACATAGGGTTTGCAAAACTGTAACAACATAGATCATCAAAGTCTCCATCCCACGAAGTGAATATCATTCCACATTTCAGATTAATTGAGGGAAAAATAATTACCATACTGTCATTTTTTTCACTGGATACTTTTCTGTTCCAACCACATGGCACTGTTTACGTACAGTACAGTCGTGAAATATTGCACTTTTACCTGCGCGCAGGCTCCGTAGATACATCGTAGCCTGATATAAACAATCTAACCTGCGCGCAGGCTTCGAAGCCTGATATAAACAATCTAAGCAAGGCTACGCGAAGTGAACCTACGAAGCAAAAGCATGTTGTTTATTTGTATGTGCAGAAAGACTGCTGCAGCTCACTGGAATAAACAATGTATTGTTTGATAATTTGTGAATTGCAAGCACGAGTTTAGACCGTTAATTTAAAGTATGGAACTGTTTTTCAATAAGAAAAACGTACACTTGACTTCATGGGAGTCTCCTCTTCCACTCGCTGTCCA